CCATTGAAATTAAGGGTTCATGTATTTGTAGTCTTTTCAGAGAAAAGAACCAAATAATTAAGATACAGAAAAGATATGATTGTTTCCCTACAGTTACTAAATCTGATGAACCATTATAATCATAAGGTACATAGAATTACATTTAATCTTTTTCCATGAGGAGATAACCTGTACTTTTAACTTCAAACGAGAGGCTGTTTTTTTCTACCCTTAATACTTCAGACTTCAAAAGTAAAACAGTTCTGAGATACTTGAATCAAAGGCAATTGTCTGCCTAATTTTTATTTCTGCCATAATTAAAGCAGGGAACTTAATTGTCAGCGAACTCATTCTAATACTCCAATAAGACAAAATAAGCAAGCCATGTTGTTAATGGCAATGATGGTAGTGATAGCTCTGGGCAGTCTAGCAAATGCTTACCTGTGACTTGGGGTGTTCACCTAAAAAAAGACACACTGAGGTCACGCTCACTTTTGGTTTTTTGGGTAATTTTGCCCTGCCATGCCCTGGGAGATCAGAGAAAGATTTTCCCCCTCAATTTTTTTTTCTTCCCTCTGTTGCCCTAGGACTTATACTCTTGTTTATTCTGATTGGTTTAACAAGTATCAGTGGACACTTACTGTCAGACACTGTGCTTGATGTTAGGAATTCAAAGATGAAGAATACAGTCTTTAGGGTCAAGAAGCCCAGTCTAGAGAATTCAGACAATGGGAATACCATGTGATATATGCTCTCTGCTAGAGGCAGGCATGAGGTTCCTGTTCCAGCCCAGCCCACAGATTTTGAGTCCAGAGGAGGGATTCAGTTTCTTTATCTGAATAACTTCTCTATGGTCCATTCAAACAGTAAAATGTACATGATTCTAGTTTTTTTTGTTGCTGTTGGAGTATAGTTGACTTAAAATGTTGTGTTAGTTTCAGGTATACAGCAAAGTGAATCAGTTATACATATACATATATCCACTCTTTTTTAGATTTTCTTTCCCGTATAGCCCATGACAGAGTATTGAGCAGAGTTCCCTGTGCTATACAGTAGGTCCTTATTAGTTATCTATTTTATATATAGTAGTGTGTATATGTCAATCCCAATCTCTCAAATATCCCTCCTCCACTGCCCCTTTACTACCCACCCCCCGCCCGGTAACCATAAATTTGTTTTCTACATCTGGCTGATGACTCTAGGTTTCATATTATTTCAGATGAAGTGTTTAACAGCTACACTGATGCAGCTATAGACTTTCTCCAATGCTGATGCCAGGATCAGTCTGTCTCTTCCAGGCTTCTCTTAATGTTTTCCTTATGTTATTAACCTACGTAAAGTCTCACAGTTACATTTTATCCATGGGGGCTGGGGGGTTGGTATGGGTGTGTTTTGAAAGTGCAGTACCCCTTCAATTCACCCTCACTTGGTGGAGAATGGTTTTGTCATCTTACTCAAGTTACTTTCCACGGATTCAAATTCTAAAAGAATTTATCTTTGATCCTTTTGAAACGAATACAAGTCTGAGACATACTCCTCTCTTCTGTTTTGGAAAAGAGAGGCCTTAAAATGGTTGTATCTCGTGATTTATTGCCAGTGTACAAGGCTGATCCCAGGCACAGGCTCTTGGCTTGTATCATCCAAGCTCCTAGGGTTTTGCTGATTCAGGAATCATTCTGTTCTTTATAGCTCTTCTGCTGGCCACTTCTAAATAAGGAGAACCATCTTCCAGCTTGAGTTGTAAAACTCATGTTTTCTTTTGCTTTTTTGAAGAGGTTTCAAGAAGACCCAAGGTAAAATGAGATGAATTGTAGATCAGTGAATTTCAAGTGGGAGGGATAAGAGCTTTTTCAAACTACACAGTGCCCCTCTGCCCATCCCTATCCATCGCAGCATTTGAGAATCACTGCTGTAGGGAGTCTCCACAGGAGATTAGAACCTGGAGACCAAGCTCCACTTACATTTCTGTCACCAGCTCCCCAGCTGTTCTGTGATCCTGGTTCACCTTCTAGTCAATACACTAATCTGTTCATCTGTATACTTTGAATTTAAATACATAAAAATTTAAAGTGACTTAAATCCCAAAGAATGAAATATATAATGAAAAAGCTATCATAGAAAAAAATATATTTAGACTGCCTACTATACTTACCCCAAAACAGCAAAGTTGGTTAAACCGGGTTCTTTCAGTAAGTCTTGTTTACCCCTCAACAAAACAGACATTCAATTGCAGCTAAAGGATCCAGTTTCAAAATGATGCCCGTTCATTCCCTGGGATGCAATTTAGGTATATTATCCAAACTCCAGGGGCAGATCCCTTTATCTAGACGAATGATAGAGCGCTGACAGGACCCAGCAGAGCCAGGCAGTTACAGACCCACCGGGGGTAAGTATGTAGCTTGGAGACCTGTATGAGATGTCTCAGAGAGCTCTTGGATTTGGTACTTCCCACCGGTTACCTGAGCTCATCTCATTCCTGGCTAAAGGCATTTTCTCCTTAGCTTTCCCTAAAAGTCTCACCTTGCCCTGCCTCCCCCTCTGCTTTAGTTCTAAAAACCCCTGTTCTCCCTAGTGTCCTAGGAGGCAATAGCTCCTGTCTGGCCCCTCCAGTCCCTGTTCCCCTCTTGGACTTACCTATCTCTGTGGTTAGCAAAACCTAATGTATTTATTATCTGGCCATTTACAGAAAACATCTGTCAAACCGTGGACTAAAGTACCCATGGCTCCTCTGTTGGGGATGCGTCCAGCATAATCACTCCTGGCCTCTCATCTTCCCCTCACTCAACATCCCCTCAGGAAGTCATGTGAATTATACGACTGTTGAACTTGGGAGAAGGAACTGAGCTTAGATCAGCCCTTATCTTCTCAGAGCTAGCCTGTGTGGTCCACTCTCTGCCATGCAGTACGGGACCAACAAGTCACTCTGCTCTAGAACTTTCTCAGGGGTAGACTCACACTAACCCAAGCTCGCAGAGACGGCCATATAGCCAGAATACTAATTTATTCCATTTTAATGATAAATGCAACCAGGTAGCCAGTGGGCCCTCACATCAGCAGATCAGGGCATTTGCTCCCTGAAGACAGGGAAAAAAGTGATTTAAATTCTGTATTTAGAGCATCAAATCTGCATAAGGAGAAGTAGGGAGATGATTTATCAAAGGATACATTTGCTACAGAGACCTAAGAGCTCAAGTCCTTGAGCCAAGGCCCCTTCTCCCATGAACACTATTTGGGAAGCTGCTATCAACTTCTGGCTTCTTAGCTCGGGTTGTTTTTTGTTTGTTTGTTTTTGTTTTTGCTGTACGTGGGCCTCTCACTGTTGTGGCCTCTCCCGTTGTGGAGCACAGGCTTCAGACGCGCAGGCTCAGCGGCCATGGTTCACGGGCCCAGCCGCAGGCTCAGCGGCCATGGTTCAAGGGCCCGGCCGCTCCGCGGCATGTGGGGTCTTCCCAGACCGGGGCACAAACCCTCGTCCCCTGCATCGGCAGGCAGACTCTCAACCACTGCGCCACCAGGGAAGCCCTTAGCTTGGGTTTTCTGTGCTATAGGCTAACAGCAGCTCTGCCCACCGCCGCTGTTCATCCAGACTTTCTCCAAATAATCAATTACCTTTACACCTGTTAAATTCACAGTCACATTCCAGTGCTTGCCATCCTGAGATTACCTCCAAGTCACCTTGGCTGAATTTATAGGTGTTTCCAGTTACACACTGGTTATCTATCAGTTTACTCCTTCAGTTGACTTACCGTATCTGTGTGTGTGTGTATATTTGTGTGTGCCTTACCCATTTAACTCCCAGAAGGAAACCTCATTTCCTACTTCCAGTTTTCTTTGGAAGCCATTACCTCATTTACTGCTAACAACGGCATATTTGAGCTCTTTGGAAAGAAAACTTTCAGTATAACTTTTTATTATACTTTAAAATTTAACTACCTGAATTCAAGCACGTAAGCAGTTTTTGCTGATTTCATATTGTAATAATTTATGAGACTGAGCTAATGATGACAAATACCTTGTAAAGACTCTCAGTGTAAGTCATCTGGTCTTTAACCACTGTTAGTCTTACGCAATAAACTCAACACATCTTTAATATCTCTGATTTGTTTCCAAAGGAGGTGGATAAAAGTATTTGACTCTTAAGCAAAGAAATAGCTAGCTGGATGCCTTGGACAACCAGATCAGTCTCAGATCAGAACCAGTCTTTCCCCACTGTCTTCCTTTTTCTCCTCCCCAAACCTCTCTCCTGTGTGAGGCATAGTTTGGGGCACTGTAGCTATAACCGTGAAAATATGACATAATAGATGATTCTTGACCTAATGGGGCTTATGTTCTAGTTGAGGGAGACAGACTATAAACAAACAAACAAGAAGAATATCAGCAGCTAGTTGAGTGCTACAGAAAACAAAACTGAATAACGTAATAGATGGAGGTCATCAGTTTAAGCTAAGACCTGAACAAAAAGTAGGAGCCAATTATAGGAAAATGAGGGTAAAGAACGTTACAGTAGAGAAGGCCTGGGACATGCCCAAAAGGAGGAGTAGGCTTGGTGAGCGAGGGAAGAGAAAGAAGGCTAGAGGGTGGCTGGCAGGGAAGAGAGCAGGAATAAGAATAAGTCTTCCATCCACAGCATGGGATGTGGAATGTGTGCAGGGGCAAATACGTTGATAATTTCCTCATTTAGAGGGACTGTGGAAACTGTAACATGTTTTTTTTGCCTGCTTCATGTTTTTGTTCTATTTTAAAAATATGTAATAAGGAAAGGTGGGTGTGTAATATGGGTTGGTTCAGTCTCCGTAGCATTGTCTCTGGCCAAACTCATCTGTAAGTCTTTTCCAGATTTACCAGGTAATACCATGTTCCAAATCAACCAAATGACATTTGAGAAGAGCAAAAGAGAAAGGATGTTAAAAATTCATCACCGTGCCCCTCAAGGTCACAGGTGTTTAAAAGCCAAGGAAGGAAGACTAAAGCCCAAGTGAATGGCTTTTTATGAATTGTTTTATTAAATTTGATAAACTTACCCCTTTGGAGGGATGGAGATGTCAGGATTCTGGGCCTCAAAATGTGTCTTCCAGCTCAGTGATACTAAGGAAAGGATAAATCAGGCCTCCAAATGTACATTGGCCCTGAAGTTTGCAGGTTCATAAAGTCATGGTTCTCAGTTCGTTCGGGAGAGAGCTGGCTCTGGGGAATTGATTCACATTAATCAGATTTATAGTAGACTAATAAAGTACAATGCCATTTATTCGTTACCCGTGAGAGTTACAACTAGTGACTGAAATTCATGTTTTTGGTCAGCACACACTCTGGCTGGTAGGAAAACATATTTAAGAAATCAGATTAAAGTCAGATGGTTAACTGTTAAATATGGAAGTTGAACAAATCAAGTTCGATGTCTGGAAAGGCTACATTCATTAAGCAGTCTTTCTTTTCATTGCAAGGACATACAGTCTCGGGTGGGCAAATGATCTACTATTCAGCTGGACAGGGAAGGCTAGTGCTGGAGAAACACTGGCAAATTTTTACTCCTAGTCTCTCCTTTTTTCTAGAACTGGGTCACTGATTCCCAGAGGGTGGTCTGAAGTTCACCTACAGTAAAGGTTCCTTGGTTATTTATTAAAAATGCATTTTTTCAGGCCCTGTCCCACACTTCTGAATCAAAATCTATGGTGTTGGGCTGGGAATATTGATTTAAATTATTTTTCTGGGGAACTGTAAGCACACCAAAGTTTGCTTCTTTTTTTAACTTAATTTATTAAAAAATTTTTTGGGGGTGCGTTGGGTCTTCGTTGCTGCGTGTGGGCTTTCTCCAGTTGGGGCGAGCGGGTTTCTCATTGCAGTGGCTTCTCTAGTTGCAGAGCACAAGCTCTAGGTGTAAGGGCTTCAGTAGTTGTGGCACACAGGGTCAGTAGTTGCAGCTCGCGGGCTCTAGAGTGCAGGCTCAGTAGTTGTGGCACACGGGCTTAGTTGCTCCGCGGCATGTGGGATCTTCCCGGACCAGGGCTTGAACCCGTGTCCCCTGCATTGGCAGGCAGATTCTTTACTTATTATTTTTTTTAATTTTATTTATTTATTTTTGGCTGAACTGGGTCTTTGCTGCTGTGCGTGGGCTTTCTCTAGTTGTCGTGAGTGGGGGCTACTCTTCGTTGGGGTGCGTGGGCTTCTCATTGCGGTGGCTTCTCTTGTTGTGGAGCATGGGCTCTAGGCGCGTGGGCTTCCGTAGTTGTGGCTCGCGGGCTCTAGAGTGCAGGCTCAGTAGTTGTGGCTCACGGGCTTAGTTGTTCTGTGGCACGTGGGATCTTCCTGGACCAGGGCTGGAACCCATGTCCCCTGCATTGGCAGGCAGATTCTTTTTTTTTTTTTTTGCATTACGCCGGCCTCTCACTGCTGTGGCCTCTCCCGTTGCAGAGCACAGGCTCCGGACGCACAGGCCCAGCGGCCATGGCTCACGGGCCCAGCCGCTCTGCAGCATGTGGGATCTTCCCGGACAGGGGCACGAACCCGCATCCCCTGCATCGGCAGGCAGACTCTCAACCACTGCGCCACCAGGGAAGCCCAACTGGCAGGCAGATTCTTAACCACTGCGCCACCAGGGTAGTCCCTCAATATCTTGTAATAACCTATAACCTGAATTTAGAAGGGAAAACTCAACAACACCGCCGAATGATAGCCCAGTTTCACAGGGTAGCTTCCTTGACTTTATAACGAGCAGTATTTTCATTCATCATTATTATGGTGACTCATTTTCTCATCTAATAAATGATGGCTCTTTCATTTCCTTCATAAATGTTGATGAATTTGTTTCAATATCATCATCAGTACTTATTCTTGTAAAAATCTGTTCAGCAATTCTGAAGGAAGCATATTCTGCTGGAACATATGATCCTCCAAACTCCGGGACTCCACACTCCAGAGGCCCTCCTTTGGATATGCTCAGCAGGTGGATTCTTAACCACTGTGCCACCAGGGAAGTCCCCACACCAAAGTTTTGAAAGCTGCTGCTAAGCTATATAACCTTAGGCAAGTTAGTTACTTAACTTCTCCAAAGCCTTAGTTTGTTTGTCTGTAAAACAGGGATAATAATAGGTCTTATCTTCCTGGGCTACTACAGGGATCATGTAAAGCCCTTAGAAGAGTGTCTGGCACCTAGTAAGCCCTCAATACTTGCTTCCTGTCATTATTATTACCACCATTATTGTCATCATCTTCATTGCCATTAATTGGCCCACCGCATTCCTGTTTGCTCACAGATTTGATTTTTTTAATTAAGCAAAGCCAAGTTTATTGGTTACTGTAGGAAGGGAGACCATACCCTTGACAGAGTTTTAGCAGCATCTCCCAGATTGTTTTTCATTGATGACATTTTGGGGTTTTTGCTTCTTAAGGCTGGAAAAGATGGTATCCTAAGCCATTTCTAAATCATGCAGCAGGATGGATTTATTTTTAGGAAAGTTTCTAAGGGCATCCACCGTGTTTGAATTAAAGCTTACTTTTGATCTCAGAGTTTGGCACATCCTTGTCCCTGCCTTAAAAGTCAGGTTGCATCTTACTTTGGGGCTAAAAGTTCTGTCTACTGACAACAGCAACATATCAAGTTGTTTAAAGTCATTTCTTTAAAAGTTGTCACTTGTTATGAATTAGCCTCATATTTACACCTTCCTTTAAAAAATGAACACAATGGGGACTTCCTTGGTGGTCCAGTGGTTAAGACTCCATGCTTCCACTGCAGGGGGCATGGGTTCGATCCCTAGTCCAGGAACTAAAATCCCGCATCCGTGTGGCTGGGAAAAAAAAAAAGAAGAACACAATGTAGAAACAGAGTTCTCTCAACTAGTGTTGGTTGAGTGATGGTGATTCTAACTAAATCAGGTGAAATCTTGGAGGTACCATGCTAGTATGTTTGGAACTAGAGTACCACATACCATGTTTGGTAACTTGTCAGTTTGCGAGTAGAACTTAGAGCAGCACCATTCCTATTAACCCTTTCTTCTCTGAATACTTCAGAGTATTCAGAGTGGGTTATTTAATTAAGCCTCAAAACATCTCTGTGACACGGATAATTACACTAGTCATTCCTACATTTTAGACGGGCACATTACAGGAGGAAGAGGTTAAGTGAAGCTAATTCTTCCAGTTAGGCTGATCCAGCAGCAAAACCACTCAGGGAATGTTTAAGCGTTGCAATCTAAATAGTTCTGCACCTGGTTTCCTTAAGTATAACATTTAAAACTGAGTTGTAATAGTATTGGAAGTCCTAGCCACATCAATCAGACAAGAAAAAGAAATAAAACATATCCAAATTGGAAGGGAAGAAGTAAAATTGTCATGCTTTGCAGATGACATGACATTCTAAATAGAAAACCCTGAAGACTCCACATAAAAACTGTTAGAACTAATAAATGAATTCAGCAAGGTAGCAGGATACAAGATTAATATACAGAAAAGTGTTGCATTTCTTTACACTAACAATGAAATATCAGAAAGAGAAAGTTAAAAAACAATACCATTTAAAATCACTGCAGAAAACAAACAAGCAAACAAAAAACCTAGGAATAAACCTAACCAAGGAGGTGAAAGACACATGATGAAAACTATAAAACATTGATAAAGGAAACTGAAGATGATTCAAAGAAATGGAAAGATATCCCATGCTCATGGATTAGAAGAATTAATATTGTTAAAATGGCCATACTGCCCAAAACAATCCACAGATTTAATGCGATCCCTATCAAATTATCCATAATATTTTTCACAGAACTAGAACAAACAATCCTAAAATTTATATGGAACCACAAAAGACCCAGAATTGCCAAAGCAATCCTGAGGAAAAAGAACAAAGCTGGAGGCATAACCCTCCAGGCTTCAGACAATACTACACAGTTACAGTAAGTAAGATGTTATGGAAAAAGCCAAAAGAACTTTTTGGTCAACCCAATATTACTCAACCACAAAAAAATAATGAAATATTGCCATTTGCAGCAACATGGATGGACCTAGAGAATATCATACTATTTGAAGTAAGTCAGACAGAGATAAACAAATATTACATGATATCACTTTTATGTAAAATCTAAAAAACAATACAAATGAATCTATATACAAAACAGAAACAGACTCAAAGACAAAGAAAACAAACTTATGGTTACCAAAGGTGGGGGGCCGATAAATGCAGAGTATGTAATTAACAAACTACTATACATAAAATAGATAAGCAACAAGGATTTACTGTATAACACAGGGAACAATATTCAATATCTTGTAATAACCTATAATGGGAAATAATCTGAAAAATGTATGTATATAACTGAATCACTTTACTGTATACCTGAAACTAACACAATATTATATATCAACTATACGTCAATTAAAAAAGATAAAATAGAGTTGTTGAGAAATGAATACATTTTTGCAAAAACAAAAATTGAGTCTAACCTGGTAAAGAAAAAAGGAAGGTACACCCTGGGTTTAGCCAGGGCTTAACTACTCTGACTTCCTTTATGTCCAGTCTCCCAGTGCTGGACCTCTGCCCTTCCAATCAGTATGGATTCTTGTCTCTCCCTCTCATTTCCACTCACCAGTAAACTGTGACCCTACACTACCCACTGGTTTGCAGTGGAGGGAACAGTCTGAGTTACTGACGGCAGGCATGGCTCAAACAGCTTGCTGAGAGTGAGCCATGCCTACCAGACCCACAGTGCTCCACGTGGCTCTCCCCCATTTCACTCACGTGCTGGTTTCTGCTAAACATAGCCCAGTTCCCAGGTCACCAGCTGGCAAAGCTCTGAACTATTTTTAGCTAGGTCCAGGGCTCAGGGCACTAAATCTGGATAGGAAGCTGAGATACCACTCTAGCTTTTAAAAATAATAACTTCTATTTTTCTCTCATTACGATTTATCATGACTTCATTTTAGACTTTCTGGTAAATATAGCTGAGGAAAAGGTGAGAACATTTAAAACACATAGCACAAAAAAGAAAATTAAAATTTTCTTTAATTTTAGGGTAATACTCTTCTTTGAGGTGCTATATCTGTATCTATCTATACATACAGTAAAGCATACTAATCTTAAATACACATTGTGTAAGTATATACTTGTTTAACCCAAACCTAGATCATCATAATGGATATTCCAACATCCCAGAAAGTTCTCACTTGTCCTTTACAGCCAATATCCTTATGCTCCAGAGGTAAATCCTATCCTTACTTTTACCACTTTTGATTTGTTCTGTTTTTGATTTTAATATAAATGGAATCATATGATATATACTTTGGCAGCACCACATGCAGGATCCTAGTTCCCTGACCAGGGATCGAACCCGTGCCTCCTCAGTAGAAGCTCGGAGCCCTAACCACTGGACAACCAGGGAATTCCCTAGTATATACTTTTTATGTTTTCCTTTTTTTCACTCATTATGTCTGTGAGATTCATGCATGTTGTCACATATAGCAGTAGATTGTTGTTTCGTCTGTTTTTGCTGTATAAAATTCCACCATGTGAATACATATAATTTATCACTTCTCCTGTTGAAGGATATTTAGTTTGTCTCCAAATTTTGGTTATTAAAAATAAAACTGTCATGAACATTTTGTTTGTGTCTATTAGTGACCACACGCACCCATTTCTGGTGTGGAACTAGGAGTGGAACTGCTAAGTCATAGGGTAGCCTTAGATCTGGCTTTTAGAAATGTGCCAGTTTTCCAAACCAATTCTACCAAATTTACATTCCAAGAGCAATGTGTGAGAGTTCTAAAACATACCTTCACTTGATAATTTCAA